AATGCAAAACTAAAAAAGGGTGCACATGTGTTAACAGCGAGGGACTGACAATAAAGCAGCTCAGGAAAAAGAAAAGCAGTTCCTGATTTCTGGAATCTAGCCTGGTGCCTACTATGTCACCATGGCCAGAGTACCACCACCAGACAAGGCCCCCATGTGACCATGCTCAAGAGGGCCAAAAGAAAATGAAAAGTAAAAGAGTATTTCATTGTCTTCTGCAACCCAAGGTCACTATGTAAACTACAAAATCCCCATGCACACCTCAGCCAGTGTGGACAACCAGGTAACAGTTAACAGCCTCTGTCTGGCTTTGCTTCCCTACCCTCCAGATAAGACTTCTTAAACCACACAATCAACACAACTCTTTTTGCTTCCTGATGGCGCTCATCCAGAGAAAACCCATATTATTTTGAGCCCTGTGCCCTACAATCACACAGCACAGACCCCAGGGTTCTCTTTCTTGGCAAAGAGCAACAAACCCAAATCTATTTAACTACAGATGTACTCCTAGTGACCCTGTCAGGCTGCTTCTAGTAGCCAACTTAAAAAAAGCTGAAGCCACCTGAAAATCTGAATGTATACAACTGCCTAGTCCCATTCAATATTTATGAACCTTGAAATCAGTACACAAGGAAGATGAAAAACACTAGCACAACACTCTAGGATTCTGGCTGACCCTTCACAGAGACCCAGCACTCCAGCAGGAGACTGAACCCTGAGGGGAAGCACACAGTACAGGCCTTGTGCCATTAATGACATGCTATCCTTGAACAGGACACTGACCTACCTTGATTTTCAGTAGTCAACCAAACTTACCTTCTAAAGAGAAAATGAACACTACTTTTTGAAGGATAGAAAAGCCCTCTGCATTATTTGACTTAAAAAATAAAACCCGGGCTGGGAAGGTGGCTCAGTGGTAGAGCGCTTGCCTTGCATGCTTGAGGCCCTGGGGTTTGATTCCTCAGCACCACATAAGCAGGGAAAAAAAAGCCGGAGGTGGCGCTGTGGGCTCAAGTGGTAGAGTGCTAGCCTTGAGCTGAAGAGCTGAGGGACAGCGTCCAGGACCAGAGTTCAGGCCCCACGACTGGATCCAAATAAATAAATAAATAAAACCCTCCAGAGCTGGGAAGGTGGCTCAGTGGTAGAGTTCTTGCCTTGCATGCATGAGGCCCTGGATTCCATTCCTAATACCACATAAACAGAAATAGCGAGAAGTGGTGCTGTGGCTCAGGTGGTAGAGCACTAGCCTTGAGCTGAAGAGTTGAGAGACAGTGCCCAGGCTCAAAATTCAGGCCCCCACGACCAACTAAATAAATACAAAAATAAATAATAAGCCAGGTGCCAGTGGGGTTCACGCCTGTAATCCTAGTTACTCAGGAGACTGAGATCTGAGGATCGCCATTCAAAACCAGCCCAGGCAGGAAAGTCTGTGAGACTCTTATCTCCAATAAACAACTAGAAAACTGAAAGTGGTGCTGTGGCTCAAGCGGCAGAATGCACACCTTGAGCTGAAGAGCTGAGGGATAGCGCCCAAGCCCAGAGTTCAAGCCCCAGGACAGACCAAAAGATAAACAAACAAATAAATAATAAAACCCTCCAAGGCAATTTCAATGGGAAATGACTAACTGCTTGCTACCTTTTGGAGAAGTGGAAATTAATGACTTAAACTGATTTTACCTAGTTACATAGAATGACCCTGTGACACAGAATTGCTACCATCAGGAATCATACCTTCTACCTGGCCCTTCAGGAATGAGGCTAATCAGTTTTGGTTTGGCCACATAAACAGCCCAAACAAAGAGCTCAAATTACAGACCACAGTCCATTCAGCACAAAGTTTATGGGTTTCCCTGATATCGACTCTATGGTGGCCTTCCAACTAAGGCACCCACAAATAACCCACAGGTGAAAAAAGATGCAGACATAACATGTACTTGGCAGACCCACTCCTCTTGGTAGAATGGTGTGGCCCAAAGGAATGAGATCTTCCAGGCCCTAGCCTTTGAGCATTTGGGGCCTGCCCTTTAGTTGCCAAAATACTTATCTCTGAAGAGTCCAGACAGATATGTTTTTAACTGCCAGCTGGGAGTTCTCTCTCCTCCACTTACCCTCCAATTCTGGAACTTGGTATATTACCATAATCAGTTATAGACCTGTCTATTGGCTACTTGGAAGCAAGTAGCGTTACTCCTTTCTTGTTCCTCAGCTGTTTTTTACAGAAAACAAGTTCACTACCACACACAGAAAGGACATTAAATTAAAGCTGTATGGAGACAACACCAACTTTGACTTCTGGCCTCACACACTATAGCTCTAGCCAATCTAAGAACAGTCCAACATACTATCAGAGCTCCTCTGCACAAAGTGGGACTGCTGCCAAGTCACCTTAGACTAGTGAGTGATGACTCCCTTAGAAAAAAAGGCCTCACCCTACCAAGCACTTCTTGAGTCACAGAGTAAGGTAGCTCTGATTTCTCAGAAGTGATGCCACACCCTTCTAGGAACACCCAGGACTGGAGATTTCTATTGTATCAACCACTGTTGTTTTTTTGTCTGTCCAGGGGCCTGAACTCTGGGCCTGGGCACTGTCTCTTAGCTCTTCAGCTCAAGGCTAGCGCTCTACCATTTAAGCCACAGCACCACTTTCGGACTTTTCTGCTTATGTGGTGCTGAGGAATGGAACCCAGGACCTCATGCATGCAAGGCAAGCACTCTACCACTGAGCCACCTTCCCAGCCCCCAACCACTGCTTTTAAATCCACTTGAAATTCAAGCTGGGCGCTGATGTCTCATGCCTGTAATCCTAGCTACTCAGGAGGCTGAGATCTGAGGATCGCAGTGTCAAAGCCAGCCCGGGCAGGAAAGACCGTGAGACTCCTATCTCCAATAAACCATTAGAAAACTGGAAGTGGTGCTGTAACTCAAGTGGTAGAGTGCTCGCCTTGAGCTGAAGAGCTGAGAGACAGCGCCCAGGCCCAGAGTTCAAGCCCCACAACTGACAAAATTAAAACAAAACAAAACAAAAAATTGAACTATTCAGTGCCCATTTAGGAGAGAAGAGTTTCCCAAGATATTGACACAATTTTAGTCACTTGGAGATTATGGGCAATTTTTTTTTTTTGGGTTGGTCATGGGGATTGAACTCTGGGCCTGGGTGCTGTCCCTCAGCTCTTCTTCAGCTCAAGGATAGTGCTCTACCTCTTGAGCCACAGTGCCACTTCCGTTTTCTGAGTGGTTAATTGAAGATAAAAGTCTCAGAGACTTTCCTGCCTGGGCTGGCTTTGAACCAACCATGATCCTCAGATCTCAGCCTCCTGAGTAGCTAGGATTATAGGTGGGAGCCACTGACACACAGCTATGGGCAGATTTTTAATAAACAGTTAATTTTTAACTATAGATTAACTGAAAAACCTAATAAACAGTTAATTTTTAACTATAGATTAACTGAAAAACCACTCAACTCAAACCTCCCAAGTAGTATAGTTTTGTTTATTTAGCACTGTTTACCGAAGTTCAAGTAAAGGATAACAAGCAAAACTCTTCAAGGCAGACTATACTAGGCAACACTTCCAGCAGGAAATAAAGGCATGTCTAAAAATTCGGATCGATAAGCAGAAGTTCATTTTTTAAAAAATTTTAAAAGGGCTGGATATGTGGCTCATGTAAAATGGCTGTTTAGCAACCTCAAGGCCCTGAGTGTTCAAAACCTTCTATGATTTAAAAAAAAGAAAAAAGAAAAAGAAAACAAGAATTAAGGATTAGAATATCAGCTCTCAGTAACAAGAGTACACTATGTGCCAAGGAGCTCTGTGTGTTGCATGTATTAACTCATCTTATCCTAGGAGCAAACAGGAAAAACCAGAGACACAAAAAACTACCCAAGATCACACAGGTAGAAACTACCCAAGATCACACAGGTAGAAGTGTGAGGGCAGGATCTTGGTCTGCTGCCCCTCATGCAGATTTAAGTCTAGCTTCAGTCAGTCAGTTATTCTGTCTAAATTTGTTTTAGTTTTGTTTTTGGTCATGGGGCTTGAACTCTAGGCCTGGGCACTGTCCTTCAAATCAAAGCTAGCGCTCTACCACTTGAGCACCACTTCCTACAATTGTTTTTAAACACCATTTTCTTTGGATTGACCACGATGGGGCCTCATGCATGCTAGGAAATGCCCTATCACTTAGTCACATCCTGGCTCTAAAATGTAAATGAAGAGGGGCTGGGAAGGTGGCTCAGAGGTAGAGTGCTTGCTTTGCATGCATGAAGCCCTGGGTTCGAAGCCTCAGCACCACATAAGCAGAAAAGGTTGGAAGTGGTGCTGTGGCTCAAGTGGTAGAGCGCTAGCCTTGAGCTGAAGAGCTGAAGGACAATGCCCAGGCCAAGTTCAGGCCCCACGACTGACAATAAAATAAATAAAATGAATGAAGAGTAGGGCCAGGCAGCTGTGACTCATTAAGTCCTAGCTACTCAGAAGGCTGAGATCTGAGACTTCAGATTCAATGCCAGCTTGGGCAGATAAATCTGAGAGATTCTTATCTCCAATTAACCAGCAAAAACCAGAAATGGACACACAGCAAATGGCAGAGCACCAGCCTTAAGCAAAAAAGCTAAGCAGGCCCTGATTCTGTAGCATGAACTCCTCTCAAAGCAAACGCTCTTCAAACTGTCCCCCCGAGTTCAGTTCAAGCCCCAGAATCTACATACACAAGCCTCTACCACCCCCCAAAAAAAGGACTGGTTTTCAAAAAGAAAAATCAGACAACAATTGTTTCTATATTTGTCCTAAAACTAAATAAAAGATGTAAAATGCAGAGGCCAAGTAACTGTCAAGAGGTAAAAATCTGGCTTTTATCTATAGAGGTATTTTTCTGACCTTACATTATTTTTTTCTACTTAACAAACCCAAATCAAGGTAATGTAAGGAAATCTGTAGATGTGCATTAACGAGACATTCATGAACTGCAAACTATGAGACACATCAAAAATCTGTTGTGATCCTTACTGTTTGCGGATATGAGAGGGGACGTAATCTGTCATAATCTTCTTGTCCAGCTGTATCCCATAAGCCCAGATTCACTGGCTTTCCATCTACCATAACATTGGCAGAATAGTTGTCAAAGCTGTAGAATGACATGAAAATGGTTAGTCACAGATAAGGGACCAAAGCTACTGTTCCTATGGACAAAACCAAACTGGAGTGAGAGAGGTGGCATTTTTTTACAGTAAAATGTTAAACTGAAGTTCAAAGACAAATGAGAAGGAACTAATATATTTTATTTATAAGAATTTCCATCAGTATAAAAATGTTTCAGTATGAAAATAAGCAAGAGATTTTTTTTTTTTTTGTCGGTCGTGGGGCTTGAACTCTGGGCCTGGGCACTGTCCCTCAGCTCTTCAGCTCAAGGCGAGCGCTCTACCACTTG